ATCCGAGTGTTAGGACTACTACTGCTCGGCAGCTGGCACTTTTGGACCGTTTGTCTTGAGATGATTAGTGTGATGATGATGATGATGATTGACTGTACTATACTTTAGTTCCTTCGTATACTATGTTTACGCTACGAAATGTCTTTCTTAAAATGTTTTAATACACATTAAGAAGCGCGTTGTATTTACATTGATGTTTTAAAATGAGTAATTTAAATATATTAATTGTCTTTGACTTTACTTAAAAACGTTTTAAGACCACAACTCAGCCACGTCAATTTTCTGTACCTCTTTGCAAAAATTGTTCATTTCCAATTTACTTACTTTTAAGTGTGGCAGACTTATGCTTCGGCACGAATACTCCAACTTAGCCGAAGTAATACCATAGCCTTAGAGATTACCGGCATGCGGCGAAAATGCTTGCGTTGTGTTTTAAGTAGGTCCCAGTCGCCGGAAGAAAATTATTGAATTTTTACGAATCCGGCTACTGGGACTGCGGTCCTAAAATCATAACTGCCATAGGCATAAAAAGCAACAATAGTTTAATCAACCTATTTGAGTTTAAATGTTTTCTCGAATACAAGATAATACTATCGATCGATTGCCGAGTGGCGCGAACGTCCAAATTTTTTATTTAAAATAAAAATAAAACTCTCGAAAGTACCGAAAGTCTTGGGAATTGCATCATCAGTACCGAAACTAGATTAAAGATTAGATTATCGGGAATTTCCGGGAACAATGAATACCGGGATTTCCCGGGAGCAAACCCTAGTTTTATTATATTTCGAGGCTTAATCCTCCCAAAAAATGGCTGCTGCCAATAGCTTACCATCAGGAAACCCGCATGCTCATTTGCCAACTTACCCCATAAAAGTACTAGTAAAGTCAAATTAGATTATTTTATAAAATTATTTGAATGAATTATCTGGAAAGTAAAAAAAAAAATGTTTTGCCTGAAATAACAAATCTTATTTTCTTAGTCTCTATGTGGAAGTAGGTGAAAACGGGGAAAACGTGTTTTTATAATGTGTATTTCATATCATCGTATTGTTCATATCATCTAAAGTTTCCACAAAAATATACTTAAGTTTCTTCCAAATTTTCGGTACAATACACGGTTGTATTCCGTATTAAAACTTCATTATTAGCTTCATCATTGGCAATAGTGGTGGATAGGACAGGATTTTTCGAAGGTTAATATAGGTTCTTATATTTAGAAATATCAAGCGATTGAAATATTCAGTACTTTACAACTACGAGGATCAAACTGAAAGTTCTTAGAAATGATTTTTTATGACTTTCGATGACATTTAGAAAGTTATGATAGACTACGATTGGCCTTTCACGATGAAGCCCCATTATATCTTCACATACTCTAGAGTCGCACGAGGACTGTTTACAACTGGTTCAATGAGTTTAAACGTGGTCGCACTAATCTCACTGATGATTTACGTGAGGGACGGCCTTCTACGGCGACGACTGAAGATAACATCTGTGTTGTGCGGTGTATGATACAGACTGACAAAATAGTGACCTATCAGCAGATTCGGACAAGCTTAGGCATCGGTATGAGTCAAGAGCACAAAATCCACCACGAACATTTAGCGGTCAGGAAGCTTTGCGCCCGGTGGAAACCTCATAATTTGACTGAGGCTCAAAAACTCCCATCATGTGGATTGGTGCCGTAAAATTATTGAAAGATTTAACGGAAATGTTGTGTTCGACATACTAACAGGTGACGAAAGCTGGATTTACTGTTATGATCCTGAAACCAAAAGCCAATCTGCTCAGTGGGTGTCAGTGTGTGCTTTTCGAGAAGAAGAAGAAAAGCAAACTCAAGTGAAGAGAGATCTAAGTGCGGGGAAAAAAGGGTGACCTCGTTCTTTGGAACATTTTGGACACATTGGTTAGATGATCAAAAAACAGTTTCTGCAGAATGGTACACACCGCCAAGCGAACGATCGACTATTTGGTGACATCAAACGTTGAATTACTTGGTCACCTGTCGTATAGACCTAGCGCCTTGTGATTTTTATTTATTTTCAAAAATTAAAGAATAACTTAAAGGAAAGCGGTTTATGAATGCTGAAGAAGCGGTGGACGAGTAGGCTAAGTGTTTTGTGCTTTTCCCAGTGGTTCCATGGCATGCAGCGGTGTGCGGTGAAAATAAGCATTTGATTTTTTAAGAACTTTCAGTTTAACGTCAAATATATTGATACACACTTGAGTGAACCTATCTGGTGAGTTTGTTTCACCGATATTTTGAAGGTTTGTGTGCGTCTCTATATTTAAATAATCTGTTTGTCCCTATATATTTGACGCTGACTGTACATAGTATTAAAATTTGAGCGCTGCAGGTTGCAGTGGCCCTATAAATGCCACATGTCTTGGTTACAGGACGAAATATGCACACTGTGATGCATTCACAACACGAATAATATTCATACTAATTTAAAATTAGCGGCTTCGGTATGCATATAAATTCTTTGTATTCCATACTTACGAGTTTACTATACACATAGGTATATCAAAATCAAAGGTTTTCAAACAGAACAAAATAATATTTATTCATGTAGATAATATATATCTTTTAGTATACTCTTTTGTTTTGATTATTATATAATCCAGAAACATTCGTTAAAATATAATTATATTTTGTAGTTTACTAAAAATTAGGCAATAAATATGTTTAAGTACTAAATAAACAATAATTGTTATAGATACAAATAAGTAAGAACTAAAGTTATAATAGCCCAAAAAGGTTTAGCCCTTACAGGTTTCTAGTACTAGTTTTTTTTCTCTATGCTACGTACTATGTATATTTATACACAGGTACCTCATTATAACGTATACTGATGCTAATCTTAAAAGGTAACATTGTCTATACATCTCAAGTGCGTAGAAACGCACGTTTAATTTAATTAAGGAGTAATATTTTACATGTCAAGAAATTATAAAAAGGTATAAGGTACTAATAGGTATGGTCTTAGTCATGAGTAAACATCACCTCAGACCAGAAGAGAGTAGAATGTCTTCTTTCATATATTTTTTTTTACATTTACAAGAAGAAGGAATTCCTTTTTTTGTATAAAGACCTAAAAAGGATTTAGTTCTAGGTACATAAGTAGATAAAAAGGTATATTGAAACTGTACACAGTCACAGTCTCATAGTCTTCTAGTTCGAATCAGTACATTTTTGAAAAAAAAATATTTACATATTAAATATATGATTCTTTTGATATAGGTACTGTACTTCATTGTTTCATATTGAATAGTTTTAATTAGAATTTGGAATGAAGGTAGGTTTTCTATAATAGCCTTATTTTTTTTCTTGTATTACATAATTTCTTTCCCTAAGGTAGTTGGCGTTTCACGTTAATCTTTTTATCGTTAACACCAGATACAACAGCACACAACTGATGAGTCGATTAATAAAATATAAATGTGAATACACGAATTTCTGTAACCCATGATACTTATTATCATATATATAAATTGTAAATAATATTTAGGTAGATGTTTTTGTATGATGGTAACCTTCTCCAAATACACATGAAAAACAACTTAAAACTCCATAAAAAAGTATAGAAAATGTTAGTTTACATTTCAAAAAAGTACACAAACCTAACTATTAACACTAATTGGATTTGACTAGTTGTCATTTTCCACCGAAAATCATTATTTCATCAATAACATGATTATAATAAAGCTGTCAATAATAAATTACTGTAATAGTTATACTCATATAGCAACAACATAACTATTTCCATTTTCTAAAATTAAATTAATAATACATATTAAGCTCGAATCTACTTAAAACACTAAAAAACGCATAAGAAGGTTGCGGATGTAGTACAACTTTTGCTTATGTATCTGACTACTATTATACGTATCTATATGTACATATACATATTTGCAATTTGTTAATGTTGCCAAATTATCAATCACTATTTTAGCTGTAGGTACAAAATGAATGTTGTTGCAACAATTAAATAAGTTTATTTTAAGACCATATTATAACCATATTATAACCAATAAAAACAAATAATACAATTTGATCATTTCCTACTTACCTAATTATTTACACATTTTTAATAAATTTATCCCTACATCACAATTGATTTCTTTTTTCACAACTCTTTAAAAAAAGGCATTCACCTACCTACCTACTTGTATTAAGACTACAAAAACTAAATAAGGTAAACGCACCAATTTGTTATGGACAGTATTAGTAATGATGTTTTTTTTTATTTTGTCTTTGTTATTTTTACATTTTACAAATCACGTGCTCAGTAACTGCAGGCGAATTAAAGGCTCATTATTTAAATAATGTAGAAAATAATCGCTAATCTCGAGAACGCCTAAACCGATTTCGTCAATTATTTTTGGTTGGGTATGTGTTAGGTAAGTAGAAGAAAAATTTTAAAAGTATAAGGGAATGTTGTGAAAACGCGATCTTCATTCGTCATTCGTCATTTTTGTTGTTGTTCGTTGTGAGGCAGCCTCAAGCAATTTTAAGTATATACCTAGGTAGTTATTATTTTTTAAATTAGCGGAAAGCCAGCTAAAGCAACGTATGTATTCAGTTCATCTATCTATCTATCTATACTTATAAATCTGCAGAGGGGTCACAATTCTGTACATTATATTATTAAACTAACTACCAGGGGTTACTAACACATGTAACTCCTGATAGCTTAGCAGTTTGGAGAATAATGATAATATTTGTTTACTCTTACGTTTATATTTTTATCACTTATCCCTTATAAAAAAAGTTTACGTTAATACAAATTAAAAAAAAATGTAAGAAAAAAAAATGTAAGAAAAAACACCAAATTTATACGTAAAATACGCTAAGAATGCGTGCACCTTAGCGACGTTACTAGCTTACGTTGCGACGCCATGTAGCAAGAGATAATAAATAATATGTGAGTATGGGTCGTTTAGTTATTCTACCATCTGTTTTTACAGATGATCCACGCTACATGCGCAAACGTAGGTACTTAAAAGTATAATATCATCCATATAATAGTGGAGAAATATTATATTATTGCACCCGTGCGAAGCCGGGGCGGGTCGCTAATCATAATTATAAAACTTTTCTTCTTCCAGATTTTTGTGCTATAAAAGGTCAAGATTAATTTATCGGTTACAATCAAGGTTTTTTTTAAGAAAATGATCTAGGAACTTATTTGTTTCTTAACAAAACCTCGTTCTTTTTACTAGTCTGACCATCGATTCTCCGTGATTTCCTGTTGATATTATATAATTTTTCAATCACTTTAATTGTATCTTTTAAAATATTCAACCATTAATATCTAAATGTTATTTATATTTACATAAATGATACTATTTTTACTAAGAAGTTGTTAGTGTAACAAATTGTCCATATAATTGATTGTGTCCATAATGGGTGCATTTACCTTAGGTAGGTATTAACCTGTATTATACACGATGCATTTAGTATTGGCATAGGTACATATATGGTCAGTTCATTGTCAGCGGCGCAGTGTAGCACTTGGCATGTTATTGTGATACGGTGACTATTAAGAAAACTACGAGCACCATTTGTAAAGCCACCCGAAGCGTAGTTTTCTAAGCTGTACTCAGTCGCGCACCCTGCGCCATCGTCGATGTCAGCCTCCCTTGTCCTCCTTTCGTGATCCCGGGCTCACAGATCCGCCCTTATGCCTACACATAACAATATCTCGATTATTTTACTCAACCTAAATCATGTCTCTTGTGTTTACAAACTTGTAACTTGTAAAGCAATATATAATTTTCTATATAATACTATCTAATCATGGTAAATTAACTAAAATTCGCGGGTTACTCACGTGTAAATGATGAGAAAAGCTCTACTAGTTTCGAACCACAGAGGGGTTCTTCCTCATGAGCAGCGTGCGCGGACGCGGCGACGTCGCGCAGCCTACTGACTCAGAGCTTTTCTCATCATTTACACGTGAGTAACCCGCGAATTTTAGTTAATTTAGTATGTCTCACGATAGTTATTATAAAAACATCTAATCATGGTCCTTACATTTGATTAAAAATTTAAGTTTTCGTTGAAAACTAAATAGTCAGTCTCCTGCATTCAAAGAAACCGTCCGTTTCAACTAGTGACGTAAACACGTATGCACTTATCTATTAAAGCACATCGTTTTTGATTCCACTCACCTACGCGGTTGTTATACAGTTGGTTCCTCATGTAATTTCATTAATAATGAGCTAAATTATTGAAGCTTACCTACAAAAGCTGGGTTTAATGGGCTATGAAAACACTAATAACATCCAAAAATGAATGACATCAAGTTTAATTGAGAAACAAAATTCAACACTTTGTTTGAAGAACTGAATATAGAATTTTCTGTAGTTCATTTTTGGACAGGTCAATCACTTGAATCCTGCAAATATACGTACATTAAGTATTCAATATTCTGGTCACGCAGGGAACACGCACAATGAACCAATAAATTACGTGGCCTAATCAATGTAAGTCAAGAATATCGGCTTGGAATCAAGTTATTGAACATACGTTGTTAGGCATATACCTGAATACATGGTTTTCTGGATTATCATATAATGCTAATAAACCAAGACAAGATGCTAAAAGCTTGTTTACGCCATGTATAGGTACTCTGCGTAGTCTGTTTCACTGGCTATCTATATTACTATGTTGTATTGCACATTCAGCTAACAAAAATTCAATCGAGTACTATTCAGTTACTCAATACAACTCGTTCAATATTTAGGAACGAGTGTAGTTGACTATTCGCCATTTACAAAGCTCTGTGAGAGCGCAAGCGTTCTCTAGTGACCGGGAAAGGCAATGTCTATTATCTTAGATTTATAAAAGGCTTGCCTTGTGAAAGTCATCATCCTCCAGCATCTTATATGTCATCCTTCGCTTTTGGAGAGCCAGCTGCTCGAACTGAAGAATGAACTGATAGGAAGGTAAGCTACGCTATATATATATGTAAAATTTTGAAATAGATTCAAACACTAGGTACAATTACAGCTTAACCGAACCAGCAAGAATTAAACTGATTCAGAAATTCTGAAAAACATTTTATTAAAAACATTAAAATTAAAGTAAAAATACAAAAAATGTCTTACCTGCTGCTTACGTTTTTGGACTTTTTGTCCGTTTTTTCCGTACTCGGGCCACCAGGGGATGGTCCTTTTTCTCCCTGTACAAATGTTTCCATTATTATACAGAATATAGGAAATATCGCGAGTGTAACATTATTAACTGCGGATATTTTGTGTTACTTCTATTTACATTGGTGTATTTATAAAGAGCATTTTATTACAGCGTCAATAGTCCAACCAGTAGTTCGCCAACGAGCAATGACGCATTACTTCTGAACACTACTTGCAGCCTCTAAATTGCACTGAAATTGGATAGGTAATAAAAAGGATGGAATCGGGATTTTTTAGGATAAACTAAGATCTAGTGAAATTATTCTAAACATAAAAAGTTTTAGTAAGTAGTCAGTAAGTTGTGAAAAAAATATAATTAAATTAGTATTGGCCAAATTTTATGGCTCGTTTAATTGAATTTATTTTTCTTCCAACTAACTATTTACTTACTTTTACAACACTACAAAATAATTCTACATTCTAAGGCGTAGAATAAACATAGGGGGGTAGGTAGATTATGGCATATCTTACAGACGCAGGCTTATATCTACAATTGTTTATTTGCAATCCGCATCTAATAATGTTACTCGAGGGATTAAACTAGTCACGATCACGAAATGCATGTAAAATATGAATACATACTTATACTATGAAATATTCATGTAAGTGTAACACTACAAATTATTAATTTAGCATTGCTCTATAATTCATCGGTTGTGTACAAAGCGTAAGTAAGCTATACCTATTTAAATGTTATAGTTTCTAGTCACCTTTGATCCTTGACTTGTGGAAGGTCCGGCATCAGCGTGTTGGGACTGACTATTCACGTGCCCCATTTTTGATAATGGTGGGTTCTTGAATGAATACGAGAACGCCAGTCCGCGCTTGAGTGAAGCTCTATAACACATTTTTGCTATTCAATATCTTTATGTGTTTTAATTCTTTGCTTTTATTGCTTCACATTTTCTCTGATCTTCGCTAACTGGATATATCCTGGCTTATAAGAACACGAATAAATAGCTAGGGCCTATCACATAGATAATATCACAATAACTACAATAAAGTGGCGGCCAGCTTGTGTTAATAACTAGAAAATTGATTGATGTCAAATTGAAAACCCAGAGTGATTCAACCGAATGCAACTTGTACCGTGGCACCAGAGATAAAATGAAGTGTTAAAACTCGAGCGAGAGGTTTTCTAATAATTAGAATAACCCATGTTTACCCTCGACATGTAAATGAATATAAAAATCAGATTACAATTACAGTGGACAAAAATCTAATCATTAACTATCATTATCATTAACTAGATTTCCCCGCTCGAGTTCTATTCGCTCCATGCTACGAATAGTTCACGTTCTACGCATGCGTCGCCAATAGTAGCTTCATTTAATTTATTTCTTTTTATCATCTAATGGGCTGGTTGGGGCAAGAGGGTCAAACTTTTACTAATTAACAACCACCCTGTTTCTTCCCCTGCTCTGTGCCCGGGTTGCGATAGATACATTATTGCGCTTACATCTGCAACGCCGGCTGCCGCTAAATATGGCTTGATGTCCTTTCCTACTTTCTTCCTTTCATAATCTCGTAGTAATCCTAACTTTGTTTTAGACTGCTGTAAAATAATTTGAGCAGTTATGCCATCCTTCTCATCTGAATTGAAACGTGGAAGATGGTGTCTTGACCCACCCACTAGTAAGTGGTAGCCCAAACTTGGAATAATATGTGTACTTCTCGTGAAACAAAGACTTATTATTAAAAACATGTTTGTTTTTGTCACTATAAACTTATCCAAATCTATACCTTATAATAATAAAGCTGTAAAGTTTTGGTTTTGGTTTAATGGTAGCGTTCAATTGTTTGAACGCGCTAATCTCCGAAACTGCTAGTTCGAATAGAGCAATACTTTTTGCGTTCGTTAGTCCATTTATCGAGGAAGGCTATATAGGCTATAAAATATCATGCTATGATATGTAGCAGCCGACCAGCGGATGAAATCGCGAGACAATAGCTAGTTGATAAATTTACGTCGTACCAGATATTGTTGTTATTTGATAAGGCATCAATTTTGACGTAAATCAAATCATTTATATCATCATCAACAGCCTATTAGTGCTCACTGCTGAGCAAAGGCCTCTTCTTACACGGGGATGGTTTAAGCATTACCTAACGCTTGCTCGAAGCGGATTGGCGACAAAGTTATCATTAGAAATTACAAGTTCAGGCATTCCTAATATAAGTTATAAAATCATTTCGAAAGATTTAGTATAATGAGACTCTAAAGAAAACTACTTACACATAAATTAGCGTTGTTGAAATATGGCTTCAATTAAAATGAGTGTATGTTTTTTACATTCTATCATTGCCAATGATTTTAGAACCGAATTGAAACATGATAAATTTATAATTTCGTTTGAATCACCGGGTATTTCTTATCTTATAAACAATTATTGATAACTTTCAAAGATGCCATTCTATTGGTCCATCCGTAGAGTTTCATACACAAAAACATTAAGATAAATGCAGTAGAGATGTAAGGTTATACGGACATAATAACTGTAAATTATTGTCAATAACATGTTTAAAAATCATTTTATAGAAAATTGAATGTTATCTTGAATTTTAGTCATTACTCTATTTGGAGGGTAAAACAAGTAATTAAATGTCAACGAATAAATTTGTCGATTGAATGACATTAATCGCCATATTAATCATTTTTGACAACTTATAAAAATAATAGTATATGTTGACCAGAAAATAAATAAAAATACGCACCGCATCCCCGCCGTACCCGAGTCGCTGTCATCGGGGTATACCCCCAAAAGATTAACATTCTGTCAGAAAAATGGTTACCTATATCTTAGAATAAGCGGATGGTCTTTGCCAGAACTCCAGTGTTTCTCTGAGAACTTCAGTTTTGTACTGCTACGGTGCTTTGTGCGGTCATTTATTTCTATCGAATAACTCTTTAAATATGTACGTATATTCTTTTTGTTAATTATCAAGATAATATTTATGTCCGTGTAGCCGACATTTTACTGTAATTATCTATAAGTGTTATTAATATCACTGATGACTTGCCTAATACTGAAATTACAATAACAATAACGTAATAAATAGTGTAGGTACATACTGTTCATTCCCTAATTTCCCTGTAGAAAATAAATAAAGAAAATAACTGCAGTGTGACTATAGTGTTCGAGAAGGTACTCTTTATTTGCATGATGTCATATTTGATGTTGTGTTTTTGGGTGTTTTTATTTCTTTTTGCAGTGTGCATTATAAGCAGGTGCGGTGCAGCAGCTTATTTAAAAATATTTAGTTTCTTGTTGACAAAAGTTTGGAAAGAAGAACAGAAAATATTACGATCACATTTCGCCTTTTCACCGAGTTGTTAACCACTGGTCATATTTTCGTGACAAAACGGCTTGATTTTTTCATCCTTTGCCACGTGAGAAAAAGGCAACAGGTTTTTGGGAATTTTTGCTTACTGAGTATCTAAGTATTTTTCTCTCACTGACACACTCTGTATATAAATGTAAACATTGAACTGCACCAAAGTTTTGATGATTGCGCGTGCTTTAATATAAGTATTTACATTTTGCACGTATGCAATATTGGTTTATTTTTGTTTGTGATTGTTTCTAAATATAAGTAAACAAAACAATAAACCGATTTCTATACAATGAGAAATATTCATTTTACTATGGGAGAATACGTATTTAGATTTGTTGTTCTTGTACCTATTTACTTAGGTATAAAAATTTTGTACGGCTTAAGAGAAAATCAAAGAGTGCAAAATCGTTATTTGAGGCGTTGTTCAGTCGTAACTTATTATAATGTATCTCCCGATTTATATGAAAATGCTTTTTTTAGGATATTTAAATATTGTATGCGACATGTTTTTTAATCGAGCGGAATTTTTAATTGAATTATTAAGGTGTGTGTATAAATATGTGTATGTGTGTATCTCTTTATGTTTTTACTCTGACTGTGCTGAGAGGTTTCCAATGTGCTTTTGAAGGCATGGTAAATCAAGTGTAACAAATTTTTATTGTAGGTGTACCGCCAGAGATGAAGCAGAGTGCAATGGAAACATTAATGTGCAAAGTTCTTCATTTAAAACTCATCCTCGGCACCCTGTACTCGTACCCTCATACTATATATCAATCTTAACTCCGAATACTCAAGCACTACCTATGTCGCTTAGGTAAGGATTTAGACTTATATCAATCAGTCAATTATTCTCAGCTCTCTGAGAGTACTGTGAAGCATGGAGTTGCAGTTGAGTATTCGAGTGACAGACACTTTGATCACCAGGAAGATGGTAAGGTTGAGGGAAAGGTGACCAAGTTGCCTATAACTGACATATATGTGTAAACGGTACGTATTGTGGTATCTCTGAGGGCGCGCCTTTCCAAATAGACCCTAGTAAACTAACGATAACATTTTGTCAAGAATGCGAACATAATGTTAGTCAGCCGTACTCTAAGCAGGCCATAAACAAAATGTTCTCATTTTACAAGATGGTAACAGTTCACAAAATAAAACATCAATGTCACAACAAATAATAGATTTTAGTTATGAGTAATATTAAAACTGTGTTTTTGTGTAATATTCAAACCCTGCGGGTGGACTAACTTACTGGCACATCTGGATGTTACCAATCATTGACCAAAATATAAAGGACATTGTGGCTGACAACAGATCGCGATCATGAGAAACATGTTTAATTTGTACAGCTGATAAAACACTAAGAAGTTTGAAAATATCTGGATTACTTTTTCAGGAACATTTTGTCACTGTAAAGTAATTTAACTTGAATCAGGATTTTGGACTTCCAGAATAAAAGATTGATTTATGAAATTATCCAATACAATAAAATAATAAACAGAATATAATAGATTGTAAAGACGTCGTAACATCCTTACATCGTCATCATCATTCGTAATGTAAAATAATATTGGAGGTAAATATTGATCAGCCTCGATCCTTTATACCTATTTATGAATGGCCGCCACTCTATATTTTTATTGCGTGAGTATAACTGCAGGTTCTTCTGTCTTGAGAAGGCGTCAAATCTGAAACGAATACTGTCGCAACCACACGAAGCACTTCCGATGACTTGGAGACCGGTAAGCCTAGGCTGGAGCAACTGGTTTGCTGTGCTACAACGCAGGCTTCTATGGGGTAAACTACAACGCAACCCCTATAACCACGCAGTGCGTGATGGGTGGGCATCACTGCGTGGTACCGGACTTTCCCCGCTCACAGCGCTAAAAGCCTACCTAACTTAACAACCTGCTAATAAATCTGAAAAAATGTGTAACAATAAGAAACCAGAACTTAAGACTTAAACATAAGTTACTTAAATTATATTTTATTCTTAGATCCTACTTATAATTTTGTTTATCACTAATGGTAAACAGCCAATGTCACTGGAATGTGTTAGATACTAATTAACTTATTAAAGTGATATACCTCGTCGGACTGGGCGGCGGGTAGCTGGTGCCGCGGTGGTCAGGACTTAGGTAATGCTGTTGTTGCTGAGCTGACAATCGGTTTCGCTGCAAGAGCTCTTGGTGCGACTGGTAAAGCTTTTCAGACGCTGACTGAGGACTGGGGCTACATGACATAACAACTTTATAGTTTATTTTTGCTCACGGCACAGATTAATGATATTAACACGCTAGAAAAAAAGTCGGGATTCGTCAAACAGTTGTTGATATACCTTTGCTGCGGACGTGGCGGCGAGGTATCGAACGTCAGGTCCGGCAAGCTGTGGACCAGCGCCATCACCACGTTCTGCGGCTGAACGCGCAGTGTATTCCTGCTGGTGCTCGAGCTACGCGATGGTATCGGCGTCTTGTGTGGTGATGAGTGTTGCAGTACGACCAGCTGTTTCAAACGAGATATACTTTAACTATATTGTGGTTGTGAATTGAATATTTTTTGTTCTGCAAACGAGCAGACTGATTTCCTGATGGTAAGCAATCACCGCCACCCGTTTATTTACGCGGTTACGAGTACGTTACTGACCTTTTAGAGATTAAGAATTTGGAGATTTAGGGATTGGAGAGGAATCGAGGGAGGGGAAGGATTGGCCTCCGGTAAAATCACTCACACGGTGAAACACAACGCTATGGTTGTTTCACGTGGGTTTCTGTGAGGCTGTGGTATCATTCCGGTCGAGCCGACCCATTCGTTTCCATTAGAGTAGATGAGTTCAAATTAAATGAATCCACAATTTAGTATCATTTATATAATATTGAATTTCCATACAACCATGTTGGGCCATAAATAAGTAAATTACTTTTTCATACCCATTGGAAAACTGCTTGAAATAAAAGTCGACTATGTAATTATTGCAGTATAATAATTCTATGTCAGTGTAGTAAAGTTTCATTAAAATACTTGAGTAAAAAACATGTTTATTATATTCGAGTGGTGTTTGTTATTAGCATCTACAGTTCCCTGTGTACCGTTGATTACAATTTTTGTTTTTAATGAGTTTACTCCGAAGCTAGCCTTTGAGCTTGTAGATAGTAGGTATATGTATGTATAGGAAATTATGTGTGTGAGTGTGTGTGTATGTAATTATTTTGAGTTTGGCTATGTCGTTTGCAAAATGTAGAACTGAAATACTTCGATTTTTTTTAATTGTGTCATTTATATCTGTCTAACTTACTTTAAATACTTTATTTTTGGTTGAAAGGTATAAACTATTACTGAAATAGTCCCAATATAGTATTCGTTTTGATTTCACGGACCACGCGTGGGGTTGGGCAACCGGCTGCCGTGCGACGTGTCGCGTATGTGATCTACAAATTAACTTTAAGTGAGGAGTTATATATATAAATATATAAAAATACTCGATATACTTTGCGTCTTCAGAATCTTATGTTCGTTTTTAATTTCCTAGAACAAACTCAAACTGAGAGCTGCTGTTAGAGGCTTGCTTTGAGGTAGGAACTGCTAGAATTATTTTATGATAAATGTTTATATTTCTTTGTATTGAATAAAACCTTGATTTACTGTTTCATCATCACCAATGGATGAAATCAACTGCTGAACAAAGGGTAACTTATGTGGATTCATTGGTGTGGACACATAGTACCTATGTACTAACATCAACAATCATAAAATCAACGAGACCTTGATCGGCATTGAAATTTAAAAAATTGTTAGCTTCATTGAACTAATTGATAATTTATATAATTTAACTATGCAGGTACAATTCAAGGAAACTAACAAACAAGAAATATATAGGCTTAGGAAATAATCGCTTCAGAAGTTAAAAAAATGTGTCCTCCCTTCTGACTTCTGAACCATAAGTTTAGATAATATGGAAAAATCTCAAAAGTAGTATTTTATAAATACGTTCTACGAAAATTATTTTGACTTCCGTGGGTTGAATAGTTTTTGAAATGACAGAATATGAATATGAAAGAATTATTATAATCGGTTTACGCAATCCAAAATTAATACCAAGAACTACTTTAACGTAAATCACCCGTCTAGTTTGTAAAAATGAGTAACCTAATTCTCTAAGAGATGGCGCTATACCTAATTGTGCTACTTCGCTGAATTGCAGTTTTAAGATTAACAATAACTCTTAGATAGGGATACTTATTGTGACCAACGGGAAACTACGGAACCCTACACTGAGCGTAGCCCGATACGGTCTTGGTCGGTCTTTTTATTGTATCTAGTAACATTAAACGTGTTCTTTAAGTAGGTACCTACTACCTACACATAACTATACAATATAGGTATACGTATCATCAAAACTTTTCTTCAATAATACCTATTATTATAAGTCGATTTGTATGACGGCAATCGTTGCATTGCTTGGGCCACTTATAAACAATTTTGTGTTGGTAAGTACTCCTTACCCCACCACCGAACTCACGCACCTAATGGTTGCTCAACTCCATCCTTAACTTTCGAAACCGTAAATACCTCTGAGTTCGGCAGTTATTCATTAAAAATAATGTGGAACTTACCGGTGGTGGCGGTTGCGAGTGGATTATAGTTTCTGACTCGCTTTCGCTGACAACGTTAACCGTTATTGATGTCACCCCTGCAAGAAAATTATTATTTTAACGATGTAAAAAATAACCAACTATGTTTTCTTACTTGTCTGAGAAATTGTTTTGCAGACGGTACCTACCACCAGAAAGGTGGGGAAAGTACTATCAATCGACATTGTCCGAGTGACCTTTACCCCATATCTAAACGGCTATTGTGTATCGCCGACAATGTATCTATTGTGAAACAAAAACCCACTTGCCAAAAATCTCGCCAAACTTTAATAATGGCGCCCGAAATAAACCTGTGCCGCTAATGAGTACCTATACTTTTTCTATTATACATATAATATTGATGTAGTTATTATATAACTCTTTAAATATATCTCTTATTACTTATTCAGGGGCGGTAGGCAACATAGTGAGTTGGAAATATTGTCTATTATCATTAAGGTGATGGAGACTTATGAAAATTATGTTTTATCTGAACACTTGGGTCGTATGTCAATAAATGTCATGTAATAGTCATGATGATAACAGTAACTTATATAAGAGTCAGGTCACAAGAGAATATGTTCTTTATTACAATTTATTTTGTTACATTTTCCGAATTATTTAATGTTATTCAAAAGAGAAATATTTATCTAAAAAATACAAATAAAAAAATAAATAAATATCAAATCTCGAGTTTCTTTTTTGTAACGACATCGTCTTGTATAGACATAAAATGATTGTTGTTTTTCTGATTCTGATGGATATTCATTTGTTTTGTAAGGAGGCAGTATGTAAAAGAAAGTAGAATTGTGTTATAGTGGTATTGACTTACCGTCGTCGGGGTTTTGTGGTGGTATAACGTGTTCTACCGAGGTGCCCGCCTTGTAATTGTATCTGCTAGGGCCGGGCTGAGGCTCGTCGTGGGATGCAGCGCTGCAATCCACAATATACGTGCCTAACTAATGCCCGTTTACATTCCCACTACATATAACTGAGAACTAAATTAAACAAACATATAGAACTTAGTTCCCAGTATATTAATAACATGTGTCTACACAAATATTATTACTGAGAACAACTTAGTTTTAATAGTACTAAAGAACATTATTTATGTAACTTTCTTTGCTGAAATCGTTGCACGAAAATTTAATCATGGAACATTCGTACTAGGTAATGTTTTCGCTCGGAAAATTCTCAATATTTGAGAGTCCAATCCAGATACCAGTGATTTTAATATCATGATGTTCTATACATATCGTTCAATCGATTTAAAGTTATTTCGATAAGTTATAGGGAACAACATTTTTTTAAATAAATGTTGCGTTCTTTTTTTATAGATATGCACAACGAATCTTTGGATAATGGTAAACCGATACTAAAATACTAAAATTTAAGAAGCCAACGATTATAAACAGTTTAGGTATCTTAACAGGCAATAATGTAATTTTGTAGTTTGATTTAGAGAAACTATTTCCTTGGTGACAATGTGCAAGATTGTGGCTGACGTTATATAATCACTAACCTGGTCGACTGCTGAAAACTAGACAGCCTCGAATTTCGGGAGCTACCTCCCGTGGAGTTCCTTTTCATGGGGTAACGCAGGCCATGTGAATATCGTCCGCCGTGACTGGTCGACAACTCTCCTGTTTTCATTAAATATAATTACAAATGCATGACGAATAGATTTTCCTTGTATTTAGTATTTATTACATTTAAGTTTTTAGTAAGATTAATTAATTCGTTTTTAAAGAAATTCTTGTGATTGTAGGTATACTGTATATAAACATATAGGTATGCTTTACATTATTTTTTAATACATTTAGGGTTTAATATTAACTAAGTTGTTGAAATCTTACCCTCAAATGAATCAGTGTTCATTGAGGCCTGCGAAAAGTTGTCGCACTCAGTCGACACCCCCAGGCTTCGGTGGAGCATCGCGGCGACTCTTTCACGGGCTTCTCTATCAATGTTAAGTTCATCCGAGCTTTGTTTAGCGCCCTAGAATAACACAGTAAATTTTAAAAACCATTTATTGAACTCTTTATAGTAATTATGCAGCCGTCTTTTTCTACAAGTTCATACTTACTGGCCTAGACGCGCTCGGTATGCTAAGGCCATATTCAGAAGACGAATCAACATCCATTTCAGTCAGGTCTCGCGATGGGTTCCTTGTGAACCACACCGCTAGGTCGTATGTTAACCTGGCTTCGCGGATTTTGTGTTCCCAAATCTAAAACATATTCAATCACTTAATACGTTTCTCAGAATATAATAGTAGGACTTAAAATAAGGGATGGAAGATCTGACCTTTAGTGTTCCTTGTGCGCTGGGATCCTTTGACGATTCAGATAGACTGAATGCTACGAGTGATGACCCAACTTCATCGACTGCTACGAACACTAAGTTCGCAATCTCTTTGGGATTGCGTTGACTTATTTTTGGGTATGTAAAAAGTCTTTCGATAAAGAACTTTGGTCTGTAAAGTAAACAACAAACATATAATTCGCAATGCAAAATATTTGTAACATTCGAAGGCGACACGCGGAATGATTGAGTAATATTTACCTGACTAGTTTGTACGGATACAAGCTGCCCTTTGATTGTTTCTTGCAAATGAGCAGCATGTCCGTGAGTAAGAAGACACGAACTTCCATCTGTTAACAAAGCTATTCTTGTAAGGAACATAAGTGTCGTGTGTGACACCACAGCCATTATACAGGTCATTTGGTAGACTGGAACTCAAAGGTTTGCATGCCGCGGGTCGGTAGCGGCACACTCGCCATACTTATAAATAGTAATATAACTAAAAGTTGTACATCCACGCTTTATCCACGTGGTGCATCAGCTTGCGGCGACTTAGTTTCACTTTATTTAACAAAATTGCTGTGACGTCACACTCAGAGGTTGAAAAATAATTGAAACATTAGAAGATTAAACCTGAAATTATTATAGCATTCGCGCGACACAATAAAGTAATTCGCATGAGAAGCATAATGCATAACTAATACACAAAAGTTGAGTAACACCTTAGTTAATATACTCTATGTACTTAGTGACAAATAACACTTGTCCTGTTACTAGGTGACGGATGCATCCGAGAACTACGCAAGCGAGATAAGAGAACTTGTTTTACAAGTGACCTCTGAGATTTAAATGTGGGACTTTCGAGAACTGATAGTATTTGTATTAATTGTAACGGTAGTAAAAGAGGTCCCTTGTAAAAATATCAAAATCTGCATTTCTTGCCTCCTTAACGTTGTCTTTATAGCGTAAGTCCCCTTGGTGTATTAACGTCCTGCTGTGATGGGGCGAGCAGTTTACCATTGGTGCTTTAAGATTTAATTGTGAATATAGATGAAAGAACTTGTCTAATTCTTCATCTTTAAAATCCTGAAAAAGAAAAAATATATGATACTCAAAAAGTTTTTTATTCTTTCGTATTTTTGCAATTTTATTTGACAAACGGTTAATATATTTTCATTTATTCACTTACGAGTTCATAAGCTTCGATAGAATTAGCTAATTTGTCAATTTTTTCCAATTCTTCTCGTTGGCGAATCGATCGGTTTAGATCCTGGACGTAATTCTTTGCGCACGTTTCCTGTGTACAAAATGGACAATGTACTTAACTCATAATTATAAATATCGATGTTACAGTAGCTACTAAATATTTAGACTTAAATACCTCCTCATTGATAATTAATTTAGAAAACACTTTTTACCAATTTGTGATTTATTATACATATAAAAGTGTACGTCACCAAACATAAAAACGACTCGTAACTGTAGTTTCACAATGTCAGAAACCACAGCCCCGAAATAAAATGCTAAAATACATAATATATTATAACTCGAAATTTAAACATTTATTTAAATTGTGGTTTGATGTATAACTGCAATCAACCAAACGAAACGTACGTATGACCAGAAGAAGAGAATAAAAAATATGAAATTAAACCGAGCACACACTACCGACTCGGGAATTCAACGAGCTCGAGTAGTTTTCCAGCGAACACCCACTGTTCACAAAACAAAATTAATTATATTTCATTTTCCCCGGACCGTGGAAGGCTTTTTACATTATAATAAAGTCCAATCCAAAGGGTGTGCGCTCCTGTTTTACAGGATTATTGTGTTATTTCCAGTTTACGAGCACAATAACAAAGTTAGTGCGTATACCATGGCTTGTAAAGAAGTGCGTTCAGGCTCAATGTCAGTGTGCGCAATCAACCGACGAAGGAGCAGGCTGTACTTCGTCAGGCGCTGCATCGGCTTCACCATGATGTCAGCCAGCTGGAGCCTGCAACCAACACACATTCAACTATGCCAGTTTTGGACGCCGCGTGGTGGATTTCTTCGCGGAGAAAAAACAAACAAGGAGCCGGCCATAACAAAAGTAAGCTATGAGCATTATGATATTGTTTGCACTTACCTATTACAGGCTTTCTGTCGGTAACACCATGTGAGGTAACACATGAAGTCTGTGTTGTTGGACAAGGACCGTAGATAATCCAAGGCCTTTGTTTGTTCATTTACGTATTTTTCATATGGTTGAAACATGTCACGGAAATGCATGAACCCTGGCGCCATGATCTCTGTGTTGAATCTGTAAATAAACCTCAATGTTACAATTTATAATACAGCGTAATTAAAAAGTGCCCGAGTTTTTCAATTTTGTCTTTCTTTATTGTTGACAAGACAAGGGTCATCATAAGAACATATCACAAGATTGATGAGGTCTCTGGACAAAGACGGCTGTTTCTCTTTGTTGTCATTTAAAAGTGGAGTTTGATTCCTTTATGTTTGATATCTTACAGTTTTTGCACATCTGACTTTTGCGGTCAACAATGAAATTTGGTCAACAATTCACAATTGTTAATATTTTATTCAAATTGTGAAATATTACTTAATCTTTGGTCCTAATTTTTCTTGAAGTTGTTGTGTTACTTACGGAGCTTTTTTCTCATGGGCATCAGCGATCATAGGGTAGATCGTGGTCTCCCAGAAGTAAAGGCTCGCATTCAGCACATCGGGAATGTTGGTAAAAAGTTTTTCCGTGTCTATGTCCAGCAGTTTCCCCGCATCTTGAAGTCCATGGGCAGCGGCTATGAACACCTAGTGGAGAACCAACCAGTTTTTTAAACATGTATTTATTATACAGGGAACTGTGACCTTGTCGTTCAAGAAACTTTGTAACATGATGAAGAAGGAGAAGATATATTATCGGTAAATTACTTTTTCGTAACTCGCCTCCTTTTTATCTATATGGTTATATGCATGATGTATTGTGATCTCCTCATATAGTAAATATGGAGCGCAAGAAGCACAAATTAAACCGATAATGCTAGATATCAGTAGGTATAGCTCACAAATGACTGTCGGGCCCGCACGTATAAAACGGAATCATTTAAACAGCACACAATGACTAAAATCAGTAACAAAAGGCCCATTATAATCATTTGATAGCCCTTAATGACTTCTGTGAAGTAGGCTCCGGCATTTATTCGGATTAAGTGAAGTTAAGCGACATTCTCACGATACCAAATTCAAAGTTAACATTCTCGTGACCTTAATTAGTTTTAGCGATTAAAAGTACTTAGCATGAAGTTATGTTGACTAATTAGATTGAACTTAAGGCAATACTATCAAATTTAAAGAATTACTACGGACCTTGTTACAGTGGAAATTAGTCTAAAAATTGTTGTTTATAATGTAATCCATATTAATCCTATGTGCCTTTTTATTGTTATTCATTATTACAAGTATTCTTATTTACAAGCGATAATGTCAGTTTATCTTCTCGCCTCTCTCGCTAAGCTCACAACTACTAGTTTCTTGCCAAATCAATGAAAGTAAACTCCTAGATATTCAAAGTAAAATGCAGAACTCATAGAGGTTAATGAGTGCTTTAAGTTAAACTGTCTAAAACAAATATAACATATAGAGAAGGGTAAACAGAAGACGGCACTGGCGTCTCCATTACACGGGATGTTACACAACGAACGGCACGGATTTCTTCGTAAAAAGACGAATGTTATTGAGTTGGAGCAAACAATACTGAATACCTAATCTTACCTGTATTACATTACGCTCCAGGATCGTCCAATATCTCATAATGTCTTTAGCAAGCGCGCAGTCTATTACCGCAGCGGACTAATCCTCTCTCATGATAGGGATCGCCGATTCCATCCGTGAAGCTTCAATTTTGGATTGGAAATTCTATTATTTTTTGGGCGAGTGCTCCTATTACTACTCGATTAAATACGACCGGTTTGTTATTCTATTTGTTTTATAATTTATATATAATAATATATATGTCGACCTCCTTCCGTCGAGGTCGACCACGGCGAACGTGGTGTGACGATCTGATCATGTACGCGGGGCAAACTTGGCCGGAGATCGCTCTAGATAGAGAAATTTGGAAGGAAAAAGGGGAGGCCTTTGCCCAGCAGTGGGACACACGATAGGCTATAAAAAAAAAAAACAAAAAATAAAATAAAATAAAATATATGTATATATATATATAATTGGTATTTGCTTAATGTGTTGAAAGTGATTATGATGATAATGATCATCTTGTTCTTTATCAAATTCTATTTTTTTTTGAGGTGTTGACGTTCAAAAGTGCCTGTATGGGTCTAATTGAAATAAATAATTTTGACTTTGACTTTTTGACTTTGAATCTTTGTAAATTTCATTTTCTGCGAGAGGTAGTTTCAGACTCTTACTGATAACAAACTACTCCATTTTGTCTCTAGCAAGCCGGAGCAGCGGTACATTATTGTGCACCCAGAACCCCTACTCATCAGTATCTGATGAGTAGTGAGGCTGACTCGGCGAACTCCGAACCGCCTCAAAATAAAGTACATTGTCAATGTTTAATTGCAATATTGCTGACAAATACGTCTTTAATGAATTAAATTGAAACGCGGATGACACGATTCCTGTTTTTTATGTGATAGGATGGCATACTAGCACACGAATAACCTGATGGTAAGCAATCAGCGCGTTGCGTTGCCAACCTTTTTTCTGATGTAGCGATTGGGGGAGGACAAGCATGCTGTGGTTGTCTTACGCCGATTTTTTGTGACGCCGTGGTATCAGTCCTGTCCAGCCGACCCAATCATTCGGGAGTATCGCTCTCTCACAGTTAAACCTCTTACCGGGTTTAGAAAACAGAAGAGAAAACGAGACAGAACATTACTTTAACATACCTACTACTGTATACCACATTGTATATTTTTCCATTTGTGACGTAACCAAGATTTTGGGCATATAAGGGATTGAAGGAAGATTTCCAAAAAATAAGGCATGTATTTTTCGTTGGCAACAAAGACTCTGTGTACCGATTTATAGCTCGCTCTCTTGAAAATTGCGAAAAGTCTCATATCAAATTTCAGTCCCTCTTTTAAAGGGTTGTAAGCAGATTTCCAGAAATTCATGTACAGACAGATATAATATATATTATGTATTGTAATAATGAGGCTATCTATGTAAAAATATTACATAACATTCTCATACTGAACAGCAAAGTAAATAGCAGTAGATAGGTAACCCCCGAAAAGTCAAATACGTCATTATGTCATCGCAGCCCGCCGCGGCCCCTGTCCTTTATAGCTACTCGTGAAGGGTACGGGACTTTAGGGAAGTGACCTACGCAACGGTCATCGATTTCTTAGCATTCGTGCCTCACGATAAATATCAAGCTCAGAATTAGTGAGGGGCAACATGCACACGCCGTCTTAAATATTTATGCTAGACTACATATTACGTCCAACCTAATTAATTAACTTATTTATTACGTTCATATATTCAATTTACTTAAGTAAGTTATTGAGAAAACTTTGCATCTCATATTTTATAGTGGTGTGCAATAAGAAGCTTTACTATTAAAATTTACCAGTTTGAAATTTTAATCTCCTTATGCTTCCAACAATATTTCGTTGTTGTTGTAAGCATACGGAGAGCATTAATTAATATTTGAAGATGTATGGCTGGTGAGTTTTTATAATTAAAGCTTACAAAATTTCACGTTTATTTTTGATTAGTAACTATTGTGAGACATATGTACTAAATTTAGGACTTACTTACGTGAATTTACTAACAATAATAATTACCTGACTATTTTCAATAAATTTCGCGTTTGTAGGTAATATTAGTAGGATGATTTACTTAGTTGATCAAAACTCGGATCAAAACGGAATAACATCAATCATCAAGTCTATCATCGTGATCATAGTTTTTTAAAATTCCCAGCGAGTGAAACCGCTTTCAGGAAGCTAGTGCATAATGTAAAGATTTTACGTTATAATATTATTATGTCGACAAGTCTCGTAAGCTACGCAAAGCATGGGATTTGCGTAGGCTTACAACACATGGGCGCGTGTTGGTGTTGCCAATTTTTTGTAAGCTCTCACCGTTATACATATTTTATAAACGAGTTTTAATGTCAACTTAGCACTTACTTAAGTTCAAAGATTCCACTCTATATCAGTAATCGCGTTAAATCTGAGTGCAGTTGATAAGGACGACTTTCAAATAATTGGGCATATAATACCAACATGTATAGTAGGTAACAATATAACTATCTTGATAAAGAGACTACCACTTAAAACCAAGTAGGAAATGGGGCACTAGAGCGTCGGGAAGAACCGCTAATGCCTTCCTTATCTTTGGATTATAAATTTAATTGAATTAGTTAAAAGTTACATAATTAGCTGTGGCTATTAACGGAGGCGCTCAAATTATTTATGTAAAAGAGGCAGAGATCTGCTAAAGATTGGCAACGAATGTTCGACGTAGAGGACGGCAGGGGAACTTTATTAATTAGGAAAAATGTGAGTTTCTGTATTGGAAGCACCTTTGTATAGCTAGTTGAATGGTACTACATTTTATTAGGTGCAAAGGGCAGGATACGCTACGCTTTGCATAAAAAAAATATCTATTTATGAGCTGGTGTTCACCAAATTGGTAAATCAGCTTGAAGTTCAATCTTTGTAACACCGCATTAATGTTTATTTTTTATGTTATGTTTGGGTACATTCATCGGTAATCCTTCGGGGATTTAAATTACGTTCTCGTTCGTAAAACAAACTGTGTAATTTTATCAGTCATGTGAGGCCGCTACGTTTATGTAAACCAATATCACGTACTTTATGTAGTACCTATGTTACGCAGGGGTGGCCACGTCCGTGTATCTCTGTGTGCACACGTGTTTCACGCTGTAAACACTTTATACTTTGTAATTCACATAAACAATTTCAACTTTGTTATGAGATCTCTCTGAAAGGCTTTTCCTGATGTGGGCAGGTAAGTATATCGTAATGGTTTATTTATTATGTTGGTATCAAGTCAGGTATTAACAGCAATTAGTAAAACTTTTATTTATCTTTATTTAGAAATATGAATGTTCGAAGTAGAAAAATATTATAGATTTTTATGACAATAGGTACATATCATAAAGCCAATAGTTGATTATTTTTTATCGAAAAAAAGACGAGACATATATAGGTACAGCTGGTCGTCACGTTCGTTAGCAGTTTCGGCAAAAACGCAGAGTGAAGTATATCGTAGCTTTGTTCTTGTAGTGGTCAAATTCGTAGAATATTCGTTACTGCAAACGTTCAAGTGTTGTTTCAATATTTCGAGGTCATATCGCAAACGAAACAAAAGCTACGCTTTTCACGTCAAATTTTAATTGGGAAAAGTACAGAAAGTTGGTATCAATTTGAGATCTGCCAAATGTACTGAAAAAGTATGGTGCCGAATTTCCTCGTGGAAAATTCAACATTGATGCGTACTCGTATCATTCTCGCGGTTCGCCGACTCTAATCCGACTTGTGTTGACAACATTGTTATAATACAGGTTATTTTAATTTAACAATGTTCAACGTAAAGATCTCTGTGTATTCAGTAAGCTCCTGGTATGTAGAGAGCCCAGTTTGTGGCGAGAAACAGCACGTTACTTCACCCCGGAGTATTTGCGGTCAGGCTGAACATAAAACTGGGATATGGCCGTGAAGTTTGCTTTAAAATATGTCACATTTGCAAACATTGCCGGATACTTAATTTTCACCAAATGTATTTGTACTTCTCATCGACTTATTTACTTTGCTTACTGTAATTTAAGTTTTAATATTATTTGTATAAATGCTTTTTTGCGTAAACTCATCTTGTTACTATTATATCGTAATTTATTAATTGGTTAGATTGTTAAGGAATGCCTCTTATTTTGTTTTAGGTATCGATATTTAGAAAAGTAATTATGTAAGTACATACCTGCACTATGGACAGTAAGTGGCGGATGTAATCGGCTTCTGTGCAGATCAGCTCCCTAATTACTGCTTGCCGCGCCTCCTCCGCTTGCGGCAATTCTGTGAAAAGGAATCCTCATTATTTTTGGTTCCTCTAACCAAAGGAACGAAACGATAACAACAATGATACAACCATCATTTATATGTATATGGTTAATTCTTATTTCAAGTTGGGGTTGGTAGGTTACAACATGAGAATAGAGCAATAAATAAACTACTAAATACAAAATGAGCGCTAACATATTAATAATTATGTCGCATTAAATTTTTGTGGTTAAGAAACAACTAAAAAAAGTCGTGTATTATACTTTATTCTGAAAATAAGGACATCTAAAGAGTACTAATAATTTGTTATATTCCACAAAAAAATTCTTTCGGAGTCAATGTTACAATAGCTAGTAACAAAGTAATCTTACAATACATTCGAATAAATAAAGCCTACCGTTTGGAGGCGTTACGTTATTTCCTTAGACTTTAATACCTCTGAAGATTCTGTTAACTTTATTGGCACTATATTAATATTGATTACGTCGTAAAATCGTAAGTGGTTAACGAGTGCCATCGGTCGAAAATAAATGTCTTAGAAACTATACGTGGATACAATTCAACGTATGTATGTATGTACATCAAACTGAAACCAGTCCATAATAAATAGACAACATAGGGATATAAAATATATCTTAATCGTAAAGAGCAATTAATTGGGCAAATTAAACAAAATAATTATGCCAGAGTCAGAATCATTCATTTCAACGAGACCCTTAGGCTAAGAACTCACGGAGCGATTTTGAACCGTGCCCGCCGCGGTAGCGGAACTGCGGTTTTATTTCCAAACTCACGAGACCGGTTATTTGCGCGGTTACACAGCCGCCGCGGTTGCGATCATCGCCCGCAAACGTGGCGGGCGATTGATTGAAGATTGCAAGACGGGCGGTTAACGATCAGTTGAGGTCCAGACCGCCATGGACACACACCAGAAACGAGCCGTTGCGTTATATTTACTTCACAGAAGACCCGCCGGCCCCCGCGGTCGCTCGCCAACCGATCGCAAAGCGCGCGGGTGCCACCCGCCGAGGCTGCGGGTAACCGCGGGCCGCGCGATTCTACTAGTTGCCCGCCGGTACAGCGGGAGTCGCATACAACCGCGTACACCGCGGGCGTAAACCGTGTCGTGAAATGTGCTTTAATTTTTTATATAAATATTTGAATTCTACAGAAGCTGCGGGCCCGCAACCGAAGCGGACGCGGGCGAAAATCGCTCCGTGAGTTCTTAGCCTTACAGACACTTTTGAACGTCAAACAAGTTGTTAAGGTAAAAAGTGTCAGTCTGTCAATCAGTGCTCTCAGTGAAGCTATGAGGTTGGGTCAATTATCTGCTAAACGATATTCAATAGTTTGATAGTAAAAAAAAATAAGGAAGATACTATCACAAATGTGAAAGAAATCCGGAAAGGTAATGTATTATAATTTAAACATAATTACATTTGTTTGGTACGAAATTCGGATGGCGGATTTGGTAAACAACTGGCTCTCCAGGCTCGCTCCTTATTTTCTGAGGAAGCTATATTATGCAAAGCGGTCCGGAGTGTTCCTTCGACGTGGATCTCATTACCGAACGTTTCATCTCCATAAAGATCCAGTAATACGAAATGGAAACGGATATTTTTAATTCAAGATCGACCCTTCAGCGATAATATATTTTAATAGCTGCAACACGTATAAACAAATGTAGCGATTTTATAAAACTAGAAAACGACTATATCAATCAAGAAAGATAAACTTCTGTCTCGGATACTAATATAAAGCCACTTGCTATAAAAAAAACTTGTGAAAAAAAACAAAATACCCGACTGCACACTAAAAAAAGAGTAAAACAAGCCCCACAATACAAATTTACTGAATATAATTTATAAATGTTGATGGAAAGCATCGCAGGCGGGGACCAACAGAGGCTTATTTATAGTCATTTCTGTTGTGCACCATTTAGCAGAATTTTCGTTGGTGGCGGTCAAGGTGGTCCCCGCCTGCGATGCTTTTCATCAACATTTATAAATTATATTCAGTAAATTTGTATTGTGGGGCTTGTTTTACTCTTTTTTTAGTGTGCAGTCGGGTATTTTGTTTTTTTTAATAATAATTTTTTTATTTATAACTTTTTAGCTGTTTTTATTTAACGAAAATGTTGTAGATGTAGAAGACTATGTATATGTAAGTACCATTTTAAATTATTTCGACGACATTTGGCTTTAGATTACGAGTGATGTTACTCCGCAACATAAATTTACCGCCAATCTGGACTGTTGGTAGTGAAGAAGAAAAAGAATTAGGTGAGTCATTACTGCTGAAGATCCCGCAAACGTTTAAGTTCAGTTAAAGAACATTCGTCGTGGGGCCGGTCCAACAGCTTTTTTGGTTCAAGTGTTTTTATTGCTAACCCAGCAAGTGTTTTAACACGGCTTAGGGCTACATAAGCCTGGCCCTTTGCAAACACGTTTGATAGATCCACGACAGCCCGATCCAAGGTGGTACCTTGCAGTTTGTGTACCGTTACAGCCCAACAAAGTCAGGCCACGCCCTATCTTTTTGCTTGCTAACGCATGAGTTGCTTTGCGTTGACACAGAATTAACATGTTCCCGTGGGAATTTTGAGAAAAAACGTATCCTATATTAATTACTCCCGTGATTGAAATGAATCTAATGATACCGCATACATATTTTTTTAAAGGGAAATTTAGAAAAAATATTATTATGTCTTTATCCCGTGGGACTTTTAGGATAAAATGTATCCTATGACACTCCCGTAATCAAGACAAATCTAACGATACCTCATACATCAAAATCCATCAAGCCGTTTAGGCTACAGGAGGTCACAAAGGAAAAGACATACATACATACTTACATACACTCGAAAAACATTACCCTCCTTCTTTGGCAGTCGGGTAAAAAGAAGTTAGTTAAAGAAAAATATTTTTTTTTTATAAAATTGGTTCTATTTTAGTGAATACATTTTGTGGTTGATAGTCGTTGTAGTTGACATGGTAGATGTCACGTGGATATTGTTGACTGTACCGTAACCACATGAAAAACAAGGACATCGATTTAGTGGTTATTTAATTAAATAGTGAACACAAAGCGCTGTCATGATGCTGTCGTTTATAAACACATCTGTGTTTATTGTTTATCAATATAATATTAATTATATAAAAAATGGTGACGATCTATCTGTTTGCAAACATTAGTTGCGACCTGTTAGTCTAAAACAGCTTTTAATTTGCAATGAAAGCAAGACACTATATACTGAACGGCAGATCAGTCGGCCTGCCCGGCCTTCCGTCCTTTCACATGTTCCACAGACTGACTTCAGAAGAATTAATTTGGTTCCCTTTTTTTCCTAATTCCACATTCTTAGCGTGAGTTTCGTCTATTTTTGAAGGAAATAGTTGTGCACGAGAAATGACGAAAACAAATAATTATACAAAGAGAACCCACAATTAAGCCGAAGCTTATACTAACATTTGCCGAGATGAGTTGACTCTTCAGGGCTCATCAAGTGTTCCGTTATTCCGATGTCAGAGTGGGGAGCGGCTTGGGGCGGCGTGGCAGTGGCGTTGCGTACCTTTACGTATAAAAATGAACACGACAGCTGTTCCGACCGTAGAGCGGATTTCCGCAGCCTAAGTTGGTATTTATAGGCATTGTTTGTATTTTTCGCGGACCGAGGTTTCAGCCCGAATGTTATGATTACCTTGCAAAGTAATCTCATACTTTCATATATCTTTATTTGAATCAATATGATTAACACTGAACTTATTGGATGGATGGACGTTTATAATCATGTGCCATAAACTGTTAGATATTCGAGCAACCGGGATACCGAACGGAATCTTAAGCAGCTATCTGTGAAATTGAATGAAAATAAACTTTTACTGATTTAGGTGAGGGAGGCAGACGAACACATGTATCTGAGTAAATAATGGGAAGATACTTTTATGCTGATACCGAAATGCTCTCGTATACTATACAATTTAACGTGTTGAGGATGTAAGACATCGAGTAATCGGACCACGCTAAATGCTGTCAGGTGGCGTGGTGGCTACAATTATGGTAACATAGGTTGTGAATTTATTTTATTTATTTGAATTTTGTCCATAACAAGCTGATAGCTAAATGACCAATGATGGCTCAAAGTTGGGATATCATCCTATTTATGCGGCGAAATAAACTGACGATACTTTGTAATAAGACAGATGGATCGTGAAAACTTGTACAAAGACAGAAACTCTCAGCTCTGCTTGGACGGGCTAACGTAGAAGTTATATTACCTATACGTTTTTGTGATTTTACATAAGGTAAATTGAAATCCCATAGTCGCAGTGGCCTGGAGGTTAAGGCTGCCCGCTACTCACGAATGACGGTGCGTGTCCAAAATCTGGCAAGTACCAATGTGACTTTTGCCGACTTACATGTACTTTCTAAAATTATTTAGACACAACCGACATACGGCGAAGGAAAACATGGTGAGAAAATGTGAACTTATAAGTTTCCCGCAACCCGTTTGCTCAGCGGTGGGCATTTATAGGCTGGTGATGTTATGATGTAAAATTGGAATCAAAAAATAATATCAACTGATAGCAATAACATTAATTAAAATGTAGGCACTTGTGTCAAAAATGCGCGCGCGTGTCCGTGTACGAACATATCTATACATTATTTTACCCATGCATAGCTACCGTTACATACGCGCTAATTGAATGTCATTATATTATTGGATTCCAGAGCGGTCGCCACTACAAATACCCACTCTACTGGTCACACATCTGTAACCATTATATTCATAATTACCTAAAAACAAGAGGCTCACGGTTTTAGGATTAACAGCCTTAAATGAAAAATTGTAAAGTTGATCACTGTCTCAAAGCGTAGGTGTCAACCGAATAACATCTGGCTCAAACGGCAGATTGAATATTAAAGCTATACCTTGATAGAGCCGATGCAGAAACCACGACGGAAAATTCTACTGAACTGCAGAATACAAACCAATCAGAAGCAAGGTCGTTTTC